GGCCCAGAAAAAACAGCACATTGGGAGATACAACAGTCTGCAAGATTTAACGATATTTTAATTGTGAATAAATAAAATAAGGATAGACATGTTTTTACCCGGACTAAAATTGTACAAATTAACGAAGAGCCCGAAATATAAAAAATTAACGAATTTGTTAAGGAAGACAGATTTTTTATCTTTATCCTATAAAACATTATTTTCTATAATCTGTATCTGTAAATTTATGAAGCAATTTTAATTGTATAATAAATAATAATTATTTATTGGGATATTATTATACATACATATATCAATTCCCTTAAAATATCTGCAAATTGACAACGTAAATTTTTAATTTCATAATAAATTTAAAAATGTATAATTTATAGTAGAATTCCCTTGAAATTCCATGTTACCACAGCAAACACGTAACAGTAAATACATTAAAAATTCGTTTGCTAGTCCCAAAAAACCGCCAATGATAAAATCCATTTGCTGTTGTGTTCTACTTTAGCAAACGTCGCTGGGTTGAGTAGGGTTCTTGAGTAATTTAAATTCAGCTGTCTTGACTAACACAACACACTCACACATCCCACACACACACACACGCACACACATAGCACTACTAGCAAACATTTGCTCGTCCTTGAATACACATTGGCTAATTTGTGTAGCGTGCCTGCGGGCGAACCTCTTGACTTGTTCATTTGTTATGTAATTTGAACTTGGTGAACTTCTTGACAATGCTTTCATTTTTTATAAATTTGGACTAGAGAATATACTATATACACATATGCATACGCATGTGCATAGTTTCAGCCAATTTATATGCTAAACAGTTAAAGCAGCTGCAGCAGAAGCAACAGAAGCCTCGAGCGAAGCAGACAATAAGCGCAAGTAAATGTTATGCAAATTGTCGACATACATAAAGTCACACACATATACACACACACATATTCCATTCAAACACAATCAAATTGAGTCTGTACTATTATTTGTTCTGCAGTTCACTTGGCAGCAAACACACACAGCCACACATCACGTTTTCCTGTTGCTTCTCTTGAGTGAAATTGCCTTAGCCATGATAGCAATACGGTTTACGTCTTGTGGTCGTATAAGCGAAAAAGGAATATATATATATATACATACATATATTTTTATATGTATTCAAAAGTAAGAAGAGCAAAGGGAAGAAAGCGAAACTCATCCAGATTTCACTTTGAGTGCAAATCGAGTGTTGCCTACTTTCCAGCGCACGTTACAATTTTCGCCTGCCTGCCGTCACTCTCTCTCTTACTCTCTACCACTGTATATCTGTGAGTGTGTATGTATATATTTACTCAACGATTTGCTGCTTGCATGTGGGTGTGTGTGCATGTTTGTGTACGCACATGTGACACACTGAGCAGCAGCACGCGAAAAAAAACGGGATGTGTCGAGGTCAGTTGATTGCCCTTGTGGCCTCTACGGGAATACCCGCACCGCGCACGCAATGTTTGCCTAGGGCATGCACAGTTCGATACGTTAAAATGATATCACTAGCTTTAATTTATTGAACGGTATTTAAAGCTAATTTTTGTATAAGGAATATCTAATAAAAATTCGATTTTTTTTAAACGTAAAAAAGGCTCTTTAAAATTTAAACAAAAATATGGATATCTATATTACTTTAATAAAGTCCTAAATAAAATCGTCTCTGTGTTTAAAATTATTAGGAACATACCTAATAATGTCTATAATATATCTGTTTCCCATATATTCGATGACGCTAGATATCACGCGGCGTATATGCTTTCGCTGACTGCTATATAAATTGTCTAAATAAATAGCTATAATATTATTAAATAATTAAAAGTCTTTACTACAAAAATTAAATATTTCTGTTGAAAAATAATTATTTTTCATATTAAGTATATATTCGTATTAAATTATTCGGAGTAATCATTGAAAATAACTTGTTCAAATTTTATTAAATTCACATTAGCAGAAAGTTAGTACGGGTATTTCTATAGTCAAACAATACGCTTCGTCTGCTTTATAATCTCGTAGCCTTTTTTGCTGTGATTTGGCAAGTCAAGTGTGAATTTTATGCTTAAACACTTAACCGACAGCTAAACGACATAATTGCCCTGAAAATTGCTCCAGTGTTCATGCATTAAACAAACGACTTGGCTTGACTAGGGATTTGGTTTTTATGAGCCAAAAACATTCCCGTACGTGTGTACTACATATGTATTTACTTGCACACAACATACATATGTACATATATATATTTAACTGATGCGAGAGAGAGGACAGCGCCTAATGACAAAATGAACCCTTATGGCATATGTTTTATACCCCGCAGTTAGCATGTAACGGGTTAATTGATAACTGCAATTAAATTACGGATGGAACACATTTTCAGCTATACTAATTACTAATGTAATTATTATTTAATTATTATCCAGTATGAATCTAACTCGTTTTGAGATAGCAACAGTAATTAGCATATTTTACAGAGCATTAGACCATGCTCTATATGTAAAAGAAAATTCTAATCGATTTAATTTATCACTGATTTCATATAATCTCTAATAAATTTAATAAATGTAAGTTTAAATATTTGTAACTGCTAATATCTCATAATATTCTCTTTAAAGTCGCGGAAAAATTTGTACTTACCCAACACTAAATTCTGCAAACGGTATTCACTGCTTGTAAGCAACACATGTATTTGCATAGTCTACAAGAAAGTCTCACACTGCCGTTGCCATTGTTCTGAGAGTAGCTGTAAAATAATTGCACACTTTGGGGCAACGGCAACACTGACGATAATGATAATTACGACGACATTTACGAGCTCTGTTTGACCTGTGCAAGTGTTAGGCATTTATGTATGTCTGTTTATGTTCTTTCTGCTGTCGACTTTCTCTTTCAAACGTAATTAAAGTGCACATTCCAAAGGGCAAAGTGTTGAGCAGGCGAGCGACACCCAAAGTGTTACTATAATGCGTCGTTTATGCACTTCAACACAGGCAAACATATACACCCACACACACGCGCACACTAACTTTGCATACGAGGCAGAAAAAGCAAACGTGCGCATATATTTACACACCCGGCTGCGTAGGCTCGACAGCATTTGCGACGCGTGAAACTATGCAATGGTAAATTAACGACAGCAGAGCCCATTGAAAAACTTATTTTATTTTAGTATCAGAGCTGCATAAAAGCACACAGAAACACAAAATAATACGGGTATGCGTGAGAGCAATTCACAAACGTAGAACTAACCGTAAATGTCCCACTTATGCGTTAATTGAATAACTAATGGCACCCAAAGTGCTGCCAAAATACATTAATTACGCACTTTTAGCACTCACGTTCACACATAATTGACACGAGCAAAAAAACAAAAAACATGACTGCGTTGGCGCGACTGCATTATGCAGCATTATGTTAACGATAAGTGAGGCTCTTGCAAAACCTAATTACGTTTTTCAATGGTTTAAAATTCACAAAGCCGCACGCGTATCCACAAACTATGACCTTGCTCTCGCTATTTACAATTTAGAGTCAAATATGCTGCAAAATTAACTGTTTTTGGATCAGTTTTGCGTTCACAGTGCTGCCTGATAAAGCAATTACAAGTGCTCTTTCCCTTTGAAATTTCTCAATTAGTCATTCCAGCGTCGCCACATCGTCAAAAATGGCAAAATCTCTAAAAAGGCAGGCAGCATTCCCTTTTTAATTTAAAAAGGTTTTTCATATTTCAGCATAAAAATCATAAATTAGTATTGCAAAGAAGGTTTACGTATAAACATCCACTCATAAATAGCACACACACACTGGCGCATCCATGCGTAAAGCAATTTATGCCCTTGTTGCAGTTTAAATGAAATTTTAATGCAATTCACATGACGTAATTTGCAAAGAGGTTGTTTGTGCATGACGCTACGCCTGCTATGGTATTTTTTTTATTAATTAAAAGCTGACACCTTTCAGCTTTTCACCTTTTTCAATTACCGCTCTTAGTGGAAAGACAAATTATAAAAAAAAAAAAATTAATATGCACGTACAAATTGTGTGAATATTTATGTTTAGGTTATGTTTATGAATACCATTGTATATTTAATATGAAAGGAATATAATAAACATTAATTTATAAATTATATATAATAATGTTCCTTTTGCATTAACTTGAAGCTTAAGATATTTATATTTTTATTTTTATTAAACAACTTATATAATTGCAAAAGAGAATCAAATATATATGTACACAAATGTAACCAAATTTACTATATATTTCAAAAATAACTCAAAATGAAGGATTAACTAAAACTAAAAGCAAAAATTAACAAAAATTAAAAGTAAATTTAAAGAATTAGATTTAAGTCGGTAGAAATATATGAAAATGAAAAATAATATATTTTAAATAACAATAGATTGATATCACAAAATATTTTTATATATAAATACAGATGTATTTATTTATTAAAAAAAAAAAAATAATAACAAGTTCTAAAACGATATATTAGCTACATTTATGTATTAAAATATATATATAAAATATAATTTCATTAATAAATGAAATCTGGCATATAAATTACACACAAAAACCATAACCAAACATTAAAGTATTATCTATTTTTAACCTTCGACTAAGTCTTCATACCCCATATTTTTTGTTCACTTACTCGCATTACTTCTCAAATTAAATTTAGATCATGTGCTAAACGATGCATTCAATTAGTTATTATTTTAGTCATGGCATGTGAGTACTAAGTACTTATTAGGTTAATATTATGTTTCAGACTCTCATATTTAATGACTATAAAAACTATTCTTTTCTTCTTTTTTTATTTATTTGCATATGTGTAAACAACTTTGACTACATGTGTTTTGATTTTCAACAATGAATCATCATTCCCGACAATACACACAATAAAAACAACAACACAATGCTGGGACTAAATAATACACCAAACACGACAACAACATCTACAACAACTACAAACATAATCATCATGTTAAAGGTCAACTGGCTGTTGGCAGTTGGCGAACACGCTTCGGACGTCTATCCAATAAGGTGGGCCAAGTGGATCCAACGGGCACTTTTTGTGCGGTGCCCGATGAGTGGCTCAAAAAGAAACTTGGTAAAAAAAAGAACAAATAAATAAAAAATATGAATTAATAAATAAAGAGTTACAATCAAGATTTTCATGAAAAGAAACCGCAACGAAATTATATAACAAGTGGAAAATTTAACTTATTTTTGTATTTTTTTTCTCTCTCCCTCTCTCTTTTCACAGTCGAGGCGGCGGAACCACCAACGGCTCGACAATTGTATAGCAGTAAGTAAAGCTTAAGTATATATAAAAAAAAAAATCAGAATACATTTATATACATATATACTCTTTTATTTACCTCATTTTCCCCATCTCTTCACAGTTTTCTTTGTGAATGCAGTGCCATTTGTAGCGTTTGGCTTCCTGGACAATTTCATTATGATTATGGCCGTAAGTATTTAACAGACCATTTTTCTTTCTATTTGGAATGAAAATTTGTAAGAATTATAGATTATATATATATATAAATTTTTTTTTTTCGAAGTAAGTAATCTAACAAGTTAGAAAATCCCCTCCTGAGCTATCATTGAAATTGGAAAACTCATTGGAAATATCTAATATTTATTAATATTTATTTCTAATTATTTTTTTTAAGAAGTGCCTACATATACATACATCCAATAATAATAGATATTAATTAAATAAAACCGAATTTTCATTTAATTTATTTAATAAATCAAAGCAGATAAAATATTAAAATGAGTAACATTGTATAAAAAATAACCTGAATATTAAAAAAATAAATAAATCTAAAAAATACTCAAAGATGTTAAAACCTTTTACACAATTTTAATTTGCAGGGTGAATATATTGAAAGCACTTTGGGTCACTGCATAACTGTATCGACAATGGCCGCTGCTGGTTTGGGCAATACCATAAGTGATATTATGGGTATTACGATGGCGACCTACGTAGAGGAGGGATGTCAGATGTTGGGCCTGAAACAACCGCGAATGACGCCCGCACAATTCGAATTGAAGTCAAGCAAACGAACCTCCAGCTGGGTAAGCTATGAAACTTTTTAGCTTCAAAGTTCGTTTCGTTGTGCATCAAATATAATAAGAATATATGTATATACATATATAATTCAATACTTAAAATGAAAAAGCAAGAATTGACATCGAGCGGACACCCTAGGAATGGTATTAATATATAGAATGTCATTCATACTTTCATCTTACTTACTGAATAAAGAGATGGTGGGAATTAAGTATGCAGAAGTCCTTTAAGTCCTAGTCCTTAACACAAGAAACTTTTATGTATAGCATTTAAGAAATTTAAATATGTATTTTTATACTCAAACTATTTAACATATAAAGCATATCCGATTTATTGTATGCTTGTTTGTATACCTGTCTCTCCGTCTGTCTGCCTCTCTATCTCGCACTCTGTCTCTCCGTCTGTCTGTCTGCCTATTTACAGAAGATCATACAAGTTGTCTGTATGTATGCAGCAGTATTCAATTGGTATTTCTCTTTGAGTAAAACGCAGCTTGAATGCTTGCAGCAGCAGAGAGCGCTCTCATTGGTCACTTAAATAAAGCTCGATTGCAACGACTCCTGGCCTGGCGCCGAGCTCAGCATTTGAGTGCTACTCAATGTTTGAGTGAGAGTCAGCCTATATAAAGGGCAGCAGCTGCAGCATTTCTTCAGTCGCCCGGTGGGGGTCAGTGTAGAAAATTGAAGTGAGGTGTGGTGCGTGATCGTTCAGCTAAGTGTTAAAGACTGCTTAGAGGAAATACTTAGGAGGAAATTCTCGGAGGAAATACTTGGAGTACTTAGAAGAGTACTTAGAGGAGTACTCAGAGGAAATACTCACAGGAATATATACATTCATACATCTTAGATTATAGTGTGTAGTGCAAGGTACCTTTTTAATATTTAACTACCGACTAGATCAGTCTTAAAAATACAAATACTTACATATATTTTCTCTTTTCCAGGGTCGCATCATTGGCATCACGGCTGGCTGCCTGATCGGTATGTGTCCCTTGTGGGTAATGAGTGACGAATCAAAAACTGTGGCAGAGGACTAAGAGTATAAATATCTTAACTAGTATAAATGGTCAATTTAAATAGATGATGGGTTCGAAAAACAAAAACCCAAAACACACAAAATTTCATTGTTTTTTTGTGTTTGGCTTATTTTTCGCATTGCCACAACTATTGAATTTTGAGTCTTAAGAGATTAAAATATGAGACAATGCTCTGCATAGTTCTTACTTAGTCAAGCGAACTAAAGTGACACTCAATGTACCTACTAACTAAATACTATTTAAGATGAAATGTGTTTGTAATTAACTAGGCTTTACAATTATATACTTTCTGACTGCACTTTTTAGAGAGGAAAATAGAAAAAAACCGAAAAACTCAACTTTAAGCAATTCATTTCCATTCTGTCTCGGATTGATATTCAAATTAGCGATAAACACTAAAAGAATAAAATTAATAAAATATATATAAAATTGACAATGTATTGTAGCTGCAAAAGGTCCAAGAAAAAACCAACAAAAACTAACGAATCAAAAATAGTAAAATTTTGTAGTGAACTTAGCTGAAGGTGAATTACATGCCTAAGTCGATGGTCATCCATTAATGATTAGCCAAAACACCTTAAATTAACTAAATATTAATATAAAGCCTGCCGAGTAATATATTAATATTAATTTTATTATTTACACCTTTCACTGTAAAGTGCCTCCGAATTGCTTTAACTATGCACCTCACTTCTTGAAGCTTTTCCAAACCCATTTGTCGAAAAATATATAAAAAATAAAAGAGAACGGCTTTAAATAGATTGAAATTGCATATTATATATAAATCCGTAGCAAGAAATTATAAATCAAAAAAACATTATGTACAATATCAAAGTCCAAATTGTAGAGAGCTTAACAAATAAATATAATAAATTGAAGAAAAATTTCAAGTCTTTGTTAATTTCAACAGTTGTGCCCAAGATCCTTGTTCTATTTTCATTGAAAGAATTTTAGAGCATAACTTAAAAAAAAATATATCCTTGTTCAAGCCTTAAATGGTATAACTGTGTGATTTTAATTTCGATGCCATTCCTAAGACCATAATACTTACCTACATGTTCCTTTATATTAATTAAAATTCATTACATTAATTTATACATTTCATAAATTTCTTCCTATTTAAAATATTATCAAGCTTTATTTTTCTTTTAGTTACTTTCATTTATTAATCATATTTTTTTCATTTCTTTAATAATACCCTATCACATTGTAATTAGGGTATATTGAATCCATTTAGAGAAATTCGAACGAATGTTATACAGTCGATTACAACGGTTTGAATTATTACTATAAATATTATTATTGTTTAAAAAAAATATAATTTATTTGTGTGCCAAACTCAATATTTGACACTGTTGAAAGAATTGCTCACGCAAAGTAAAACTGAACAGATTATGTTGTTCATAATAAAAATGAAAAAGGAGTTTTAGTTAAAATTGAAGCTCGTACTTTAGATGAACTTTGGCCACAGCTCCGGCCAGCGCACTAAGAACGACTGATGAGATATTGCTTCGCTGAGGACTTGCCAAAATACGGATGTGTTCCTAGTTTCATTCCAATTCCAAGTCTTTGCCGAATGGCGTTGATCACTGTACTGCGATTTGATGTTCAGCCAATGTTCGGTGTTGTCCTGCTGCTTGGTGGCATAGTCCATACGATATTTGGGCGGTAGCAAGGGATTTGGGGGTCGCTCTTCGCGTTGCCTGCGTTGCAATGCAATCAGTCTTTCCTCGTCGCAATATTGTTGCTCCAGTTTCATAAGTTCGGCTTCCACATTTAAAGCATTGCAACTGTCATTGCGTGTAGCACCCGCTCGAGTTGCCAGCTCAACGGGCGCAGCATCTGTGGCATTGGGCGTCACAATGGGTTTCAGTGGATTGAGCGTTGGGTTAACCGTTGCCGTGACATTTCCTACGTCGCTGCGTCGATGCCAGAGTGTGCCCGGCAGCTGGCTGGCAATAAAGAATGCGCCCGCAATTGTGAACACACTTGCCGCATAGCTCAGGGCCAAAACAGCCAGGTTATTTAGTAGAAATTTCATTAGCGTAAAACTGGGCAATAGCTGCATCAGTTCACTGTAGGTTAGCCAGCCGCGCCGCAAGCCCTCGCGCTGTGCCAGCGTTCGCTCTACGCTGCTCAACTTTTCAAAGAATTGCTCGTTCGATATGTATATCTTCCAGTCCTGTCAACACCAAAATTTTTAATTAATGATTTAAATTTTATGTAGAAATATGATAAGTGCATTTACAATGGCTGTCAAAAACTCGAGTTCCAGTTGTTTCAGCTTGTCCTCGGTCATGTTGCCCTCTTTTGCCCAATCCTCCAAATAGAAACGCTCATCGTGGCCGGCATAGAATTTCGTTGAAATCATCTGTAAATCGAAAAGAGAAACACAAAGCAAAACAAGTTTATGAGTAACCATGTGATGTCACTGGCCAAAAGCCAAATACCAAAAATGCTATAAATAACAAAGAATTACATAAATAATGTGTGCAACGCAATGCAGATCTGTTCTTACTTACAATTTAAAACTAAATCTCTTACTCATTTAGAAAGCGCATTACTCATTTGACTCTGACGTCACAGCGTTGCGCATGGTCACCAGCTTACAAAAGGTGCTACTGTATATAACAAAAACTTGTATACATATATAAAATACAGTTTTATATATACAAATATGCATGCTATGCAGTCAATGCGACTTATCAGTTTTAGCTGCCAGCTGCCCTCATTTAGTTTAAAATAAATGCCAAGCAACACGATGATCATACAAACACACACACACTCACATTATTCACTCATTATGGTCAACGCTGCTTTAGAACGCTTTTGACTGTCTATGTATGTATGCATGTGTCTATTGGTGTGCTGGTGTTTTCAGTGATTGTGCGCACACATATGCACGCAAATATGTATGCGTTATTGCGCGTAAGGTGGGTTATCAATCAACAGGTTTTTTTGCCACGAGCTGTTGGCAAAGCGTGAACAACAAATTACACTTACCAATGACACCACAAAGAGCTCCTGTGGCGTGATTCTGTAGCCATAGCCGGGATCAATGCTATTCAAACGATCCAAGTAGATAAGCGCCATTATGAGGGAGCAGGGTGTTGCATGGGTTTTTCCAGCCGCAATCGAACTCAAACGATGCAGCGAGTGGCCGCGATGTGGCTCCGAGAACAGATCGGCGGCATATTCAGCAAATGGCATGGAAACTTCCATATCCGCCTCCGTTGTGTCCACACCTCCATAGTATAGCGTTTTTCGTATACGATTTATAAACTCACCGTGCTGCATCACCTACAAATTGTTAATGCAATTAGCAATGCATATGATGTGTGACGAATAGAGCCAGTTGCATGGATTACCTTTTTTGGTGCAGATGAGACGAATTTACTTCGCCCCATTGGAATAAAAAGTGTTCTGCGTCTATAGCGAGGAAATAAAATGCTTTCGTAGGAGAATCGTGTCAGCGTTGCCACATCGACTAAAACCAACTGTTTGGTCTTTTAGCTGAGCACAGCAGGGCTGTCAGGAGTGCAGTACAAGCCACAATATAAATTTAATTTTACCTGCGCGCTTTAAAGTAATTGTCGAAAAAAATAAATTTTGAATTCTGACTTTGTGTACTCCTGCAGAACCTGTCAACAAATTAAAATGAATACTATTTTGTTTATTGCTCAGTGCGCGATTTGCCATTCTCATGTTAACGTTAAAACATATGATTTGACATCACTCGTTGCATTTGTTTTTAGAACCACAAATCATTAAGTTTAAATTATGTCGCGATTCAGCGGGGCGTTGCAATTAACAGATTTGGACGACTTTATAACTCCATCGCAGGTGGGCTAGTAATTAATTCATAACCAAACAATTAAATTATTGCAATTAATTTCAGGAGTGCATAAAGCCCGTGACAATAGATAAGACGAAGTCAAAAACTGGATCCAAAATAACTGTGCAAGCGGATGGTTATTACGAGGAATCAGAGGTACAGAAGATTTATAAAAGTGTTTTATAGCTGAACTCGAATATTTCACAATTAATAGAGCGGCAAGCAAAAGCTGCAAAAGGTTGAAATCACACTACAAGATTGCCTTGCCTGCTCCGGCTGCATAACCTCCGCGGAAGGCGTGCTCATCACACAGCAAAGCCAAGAGGAGCTGCTCAAGGTGTTGCGCGAAAACGAAAGACTCAAAGCTTCCGGCGACAATGACCAAGTGCGCACAATTGTGTTCACGATTGCCGTGCAACCGCTGATAAGTCTCGCCCATCGGTTTGAGCTTGGCGTCGAGGAAGCGGCTCGCCATTTGTCTGGATATCTGCGACAGCTGGGTGCCGACTATGTGCTGAGCACAAAGATTGCTGACGATCTGGCGTTGCTTGAATGCCGACAGGAATTCGTTGAGCGTTATCGGGAAAATGCCGATCTGAGCATGTTGAGCTCCTCGTGTCCCGGCTGGGTGTGCTATGCCGAGAAGACCCATGGCAATTTTATATTACCCCACATTGCGACAACGCGTTCGCCACAACAAATAATGGGTGTGCTCGTGAAACAGAGGCTGGCCGAAAAACTGGGCGTGCCCGGCTCGCGGATCTATCATGTCACAGTTATGCCTTGCTACGATAAGAAACTAGAGGCGTCTCGCGAGGACTTCTACAGCGAGGTGAACAACTCAAGGGACGTAGACTGTGTAATTACTTCAAGTAAGTAAGAAGCGTATTATACTCAACTATGTGTTGTAAATTCGCTTTTTGCTTTTCAGTTGAGGTGGAACAAATGCTTCAGACTGAGGAGAAAACGCTGCAGCACTTCGCGCCCTCTGACATAGATTGGCCTTGGACGGACCAGCCGCCCGAGTCTATAGTATGGGCACACGAATCCACCATGTCCGGTGGCTATGCTGAACACATCTACAAATATGCCGCCCGAGAGTTGTTCAACGAAGAGACACCAAATGAACTCCAATTCAAGGCGTTGCGCAATCGAGACTTTTCCGAAATTAGCTTGGAGAAGGATGGAAAAATTGTGCTTAAGTTTGCCATTGCGAATGGCTTTCGGAATATACAAAATCTGATGCAAAAGCTGAAGCGTGGCAAAGGGCCGGGCTATCATTTTGTTGAAGTGATGGCCTGTCCATCCGGCTGCATCAATGGTGGCGCCCAGGTGCGTCCCACCACGGGGCAACATGTACGCGAGTTGACTCAACAGCTGGAAGAACTGTATAAGCAACTGCCGCGTTCCAATCCGGATAATGCCCACACTAAACATATATATACCGATTTCCTGGATGGCACACAAACCGATAAGTCCCAAAGCCTACTCCATACCAGCTATCATGCTGTGGAGAAGCTCAACACAGCCTTGAACATAAAATGGTAGCAAACTATTTACTTTTTGGATCACTGTAGACGGGTAACAATTGTAATTGTTTTATGCAAAGCAATACATATATAGGGGTTAAATATTGAAATAAAAAAACTTAAACATAAAAATAGTTCGTATTTCTGTTTATTAAATATTTAATTGTTAATAGAGTTATAAAATTAATAATGAAAATATTTTAAATAAATATTATTTTGAATGCAATAATATACTATTTTCTTATTGCACAAATGCTTTTGTTATCGATGCCACACGTTGTTTTCAGGTATCGATAAGTCGATACCTAATCAACAACCCCAAATTAATACACGTAAACCTTTAGCCGAATTGCCGAAACACCAAAATATGCTATTGAAAATATGTTTTGTGCTGCCACTCATAACAATTGCAATTGCACTTGATGAACCACAAAAGCTCAAGGATAAATCCACTAAACTGCCGCCTTGCAAAGCGTGCACAGTGCTGGTGGAGTCATTTAACTTGGGCTTGGAGCGTACGAAACGAGGCAAACATGCCGGCGGCGACGCCGCCTGGGAACAGGAGAAAATGCGTGCCTATAGAAATAGTGAGGTGCGCTTCGTTGAGATCCAGGAGCAGCTGTGCAGCGAAGTTAAACGTGGCCAGGATCACTGTCATATGTTGAGCAACGACCACGAGTCCTTGATTGAAGACTGGTTTACAAACAAACAGGACGAGGAGCCCGATTTGCATGCTTGGCTGTGTATCAATCAACTGAGCGTTTGCTGTCCAAGCAACACGTATGGACCCACTTGCCAGCCGTGCACCGACTGCAATAATAATGGTGGGTTATTCTTTGAAGATAAAATGCATATCTTATATATGTATGTATGTACATACATTTATTATTCTCTAGGGAAATGCAAGGGCAACGGCACACGCAAGGGCAACGGGCAGTGCCTGTGTGACAGCGGTTACGCAGGTATCAATTGCAACGAGTGTGATGAGAACAATTATGAATCCTTTCGCGATGCCACAAAGCTGCTGTGCACTCCATGTCATGCCGCTTGCGGTGATGGCGGTTGCAACGGCGCTGGTCCGAAAAGTTGTCGTAAGTGCAAGGATGGCTGGCGGATGGACACCGAAACGGGCTGCGTGGACATCAACGAATGTGTGGATCAGCATCGAGCGTGTCGTCCGCAACAATTCTGTGTGAACAACGAAGGCTCCTTCTCGTGCCTGGAATGTGATCGTTCCTGCGATGGTTGCGATGGTGATGGACCCGATATGTGCAAAAAGTGCGCCGATGGCTATCAGCTGAAGGATGGCAAATGTCAAGGTGAGTGCGTGTAAGACGATCGATTACTATAGTTTGACAACTATCATCATTTCTCTTGCCCTGGAACGGTTCATACAGATCTGTCCTCGCAGCAGCGTGATTCTTATGTGAACATAACGCGATTTCTCACCTACTTCGGCATGTGCGTGGCCACCTGCGTCATCTTCCAGAGCTCCACACATATTGCGTATATCGTTGGTGGTGCGGTGGCCATCTATATAGCAGCATCCGAGTATTGGCTGAATTGGACAGCGCAGGGCGGCGTTCAAAAGCCGGAAATAGACACAAAGCAGCTAGAGGATTTAATTATGAAGTCGTTATAAGTCAGGAAAAAAAAGCAACCAAAAACAAAAAAAAAGGGAAAAGACGTTTGGAATATTTGCTGATACATACGATAATTTTATTCTATGAATAATTCGTAAATGAGCATTTGTCTGCAGTATTTAAATTATGTTATGTTTTTCTATATTTTTATTTGCTTGCAGTCGCATTGAATGCGGAAATCGATTCAGAACTGGAAATGGAAACATCAATGCGAGAGGAACTGTAGCACGCACAGGTCACAGCAACAACTTAGTCAAATTTAGTTTTAAATAATTACCAAATCAGATTTCAAATTACGAAAGATCAAAACTGCCAAATTTGCGTTTAATTTCGAAAAAAAAAAAATAAAATAAACAAAATTATAGAGTTAAAATGTAGCTGGTCCCATAGAAACTGAATTCTATAAAAGACTTACAAGTATTAAGAATGTATTTGAGAGAAGGGAAGTAAATAAAACGTTTGTCGATATAGTGTCCCTTTTTTGATGTCATTACAAACAGCTGTCAGCAAATCAGCGCCAATTTTAAATTTGCACAGCTGTTTTATCCGTAGAAAACAAGGCAAAGTATCGATACATCAATGTTCCTAACAGCTGTTAAATACATTATCGCTAATTTGAATTTTGCATTATGGCAAATGTAAGGGCTTAAAATTATTAATTTTTTATTTTATTTTAAAAAAGTCTAAAACAAAAAATTCCTTTTTTTTTTTTAACAATATACACTACAGTTTTTGATTGATCTAGTTCTGTTTTATACCATTCCTGACAGCTGTGGTAGAGATAGCGCCAATTTGAAAGTATTTGGCATTTAAAATATCGATATTTTATAGTTTTCTTTGCATGTTTTGAACATTCCCAACAGCTGTGTTAAATTGTAAGCGCCGAATTTAAAGTTAAAACTTTACATTTATTATGAATGTGAGAAAACTTTTTTCTTTCTATTTATGCATATTCTCTATAAATAAGCTGGATAAATTTGCGTCAACGATCAATGGAAATAGTTATTCCTAACCTATTATCCTTTTAGAGCATTGCGCATGTCGAACTCGAATCCATTGCCATAGTCAACAGCAGCGGCTGGAAATTTGGAATGCGGCATGTTACTGCAATACCAGCACCAGGAGGCGGCACTAGCAGCAGCAGCACGCCTAGCAGCATATTTGATATTTGTTTGTGCGTACCGAGCTGCTTGGCCAGAAGGTCAAGTTTTTGCTGGTTATTCTCGGTGACCGAAAAATCAATTTATTTCTTGAAAAAAAAAAGCAATACAAAAAATGGCACAAGCTTTAGCTTTCTCCTAAATAAGCCAAACGTTAACATTTCCGCCACACAAAATCAATACAGCAAGGGATATTTGTTATTTGGCAACAGACTCGGCCACAACATATATATTATATGTAGAGGTAAGCAAGTAAGTAGGCTTTTGCGTAACCAGGCAAAACCCCTAATTTTTTTTTTCTTTTTTTTTTTTTTTTTTATTTGAAAGATACAAACAAAAATTTCAAATAATATTAAAGTAAGTTTCAGAATTTAGAAAAGCAACACACACACAGACATTTCAATGTTAAAATGCCGTCACCGTCATCATCGTCAATAACAACAGCTCAACAACAAGAACAACAAACATATGGCCTAACAGCGAATGATATTACATCCGAATATCGGCCCTACAGCGGATCGACCGGCGTTATGTCGATGGCCAGCGAACGCCAACCGCAGGCGCATCGCGAGATGCTGGAACGCGAAGATACTTTGGAATACTTCATAAAATTTCCGAAACCCACAGCGGACAATGATTTCGTACTGGTCAACGGCAACGATGAGCAGAACAATGTCCCGATTGTGATGCTGCTGGGCTGGGCGGGATGTCAGGATCGGTACCTAATGAAGTATTCGAAGATCTACGAAGATCGAGGGTGAGTGGAGGGCACAGGCAGCTGATAACAAATATTAATAATACTATGTATATTATATTTGTTTATATCTTTGACGTGATCTCAGTCTCATTACGGTCCGCTATACGGCGCCGGTAGACACGCTTTTCTGGAAGCGCAGCGAGATGGTGCCGATTGGCGAGAAGATCCTAAAGCTCATACAGGACATGAATTTCGATGCACATCCGTTGATATTTCACATCTTTTCGAACGGCGGTGCTTATCTCTATCAGCACATTAATTTGGCCGTGCGCAAGCACAAATCTCCATTGCAGGTGCGCGGCGTCATCTTTGATTCGGCGCCAGGTGAGAGACGTATGCTCGGTTTATATCGTGCCATCACTGCGATCTATGGCAAGGAGAAGCGCTGCAATTGCATCACAGCGCTGGTCATTACGTTGACCCTGAGCATTATGTGGTTTGTTGAGGTGAGCCACGCCCCCTGCCCCTAGTCCCACTGTCCCCTACCCTCTGTCCCACACCACCTTCTGATACACCAATTGTCATTCGCAGGAAACATTTGTGGCTTTTAAGAGTTTGTTTGTCCAGTCAACGCCTGTCCATGCGAGCCCGTTCAGTGAGCTCAAGAACGAGACGAACAAATATCCTCAATTGTTCTTGTATTCGAAAAGTGACGTTGTCATACCATATCGAGATGTTGAGAAATTTATACGAATACGACGCGATCAGGGCATCAATGTGTCATCCGTCTGCTTTGAGGATGCGGAACATGTCAAAATCTTTACTAAGTACCCAACACAATATGTGCAAAGTGTGTGTAATTTTATCAAGAACTGTATGGCTAATACTCGGACGTCCTATCAATTGACTGGCGATGCCATCAATGCTCAAGCCATGGCACAGCAACAACATCAGCAGCATCAACCCCATCAGCATCAGTCAAATTTGAAATACGATTAGAGAAAAAACAAATTTGAATATTTGATTTCAAAATTCTAGAACCGCGCGCAATGGATAACAACGCATCAAACACGTATGTGATAGGCAGCACAACTATTATAAACAAAACTTACTACTATTTGCAGACACAATACTTAATTGGCAACAACATTGCAAAAATTTTAAACGTAACGTATTGAACAGAAAAAAAAGAAAGAAAAAAACAAATTTCATGCAGTTGACCGCTTGGCGCTCGCTGCCGCTTTAATGTAGAATCGAATTTAACAGTTACTCGAATCTAAAAAAGGTGTACATTCTTATATTTTCCCCCTCCCTGGCAAAGTGCACAAAACGAGCGCAAATAAAATAATTTATCATAAATTTTAATTCGCGCACGAGTTTAAATTTCAAATTGCCATTTTTCTTCGAATAACAGCTGGCTGCTATAGCACTGGTCAGGGTGGTGTGCAATTATCGAAATGTTGTGGCGCAATCGTTTATATTCGATAAGTTTTGGCGAGTCGCCATCTTGGAATGTGCGAAGAAGAAGAAGCGAACAAAAAGCAAGCGAAAAATCTTTAAGCGTATTTATTTAAATGTATAAATTGCATAAATCTATATATTTAAGGCCAAGCACACATATTTATTGCTCCATTCATAAATATAAAAGAAACCCCAGCACAGCTGCCACGTTGCGTTTGCCCAAAAAGGCTTAGCCACAAAAAAAAAATCGAAATCTCCGACGGCCCGAAGGTATCACACACATACACACGCACACACACTCACATATATACACAGTCCACCACATATATTAGTGCAAGCAAAAAGAGGCAGAAGAAGCAAAGCCAGGCGAGAGTGTTTTTCCATACAATTCGGTGAATCTACTTGGATCTAAGGTAAATAGAACAACGCCAGCCCACTAATCATACGTTTCGGTGTGTGTGCCCAAATAATGGAAATGATTCTGCCGCCGCCAGCGCCACAAATGCCGCGGCACACGTCGAAACAACGGTGCACGCGCTGGTGTGCGTCTCTGTATGTGTATGCGCAATTAATGCATATTTAACATTGATCCATTTATGTTGCAGACGCCGTTGCCGACTTCTGGTCAGGCACAAACAGACAGCAGAAGCAGCATCAGCAACAGTGATTGTGTTGCGGGCAGGTGATATAACTAAACAATCGCGAAAGCTTGTAGCGGACTATGTCTGACTATTTGCGCCAGCAGAAACCACTAGAGCACACATAGCCATGGCTGCGACGAGAAAATTGCAAGGTAAGCACAATTCTCCACATACATACATATGTAGAGATGCATGTATGTTTGATGTAAATTGTATTTATTTAATATGATGTGCGTCCAAATACTGATACTGTGCACATTATCGATATATCCCCCCGATAGGCGAAATTGATCGATGTTTAAAAAAGGTAGGCGAGGGCGTGGAAACGTTTGAGGATATATGGAAAAAGGTACACAATGCTACAAACACCAACCAGAAGGTGAGCAACTAATACCATCTAAATTTAATATCTCTGTTCTATATAAAGCTATATCAATGTCTGTTTTATTTGTAGCAAAAGCATCTGCAGGAAAAGTATGAGGCAGACCTTAAAAAGGAAATTAAGAAACTGCAGCGATTACGAGATCAAATCAAATCATGGATTGCATCCGCCGAGATTAAAGATAAAAGCGCGCTGCTCGAGAATCGAAGGCTCATTGAAACGGTGAGTTGTTTAGCCTAAAATTAGAAAACGAAAAAATTTCGCCTCTATCAATCTGGAGCAAAAATCAATCCACAGATCACTTTTAGTCTATACCTGAACTAAACTGTGGTTTTAGATCCAAAAAGACAATATTATTTTATATAAAAAATGTGGCGAAATATCAACAAGTTATTTGTAATTCCTAGCGCCGACTTTAAATTTCAATCGCCGCATATTAATTTTAATTATTTTTAAATCACCTACAGCAAATGGAACGCTTCAAGGTGGTGGAGCGGGAGACAAAAACAAAAGCGTATTCCAAGGAGGGTCTGGGCGCCGCACAAAAAATGGATCCAGCGCAACGGATCAAGGATCATGCGCGCAATTGGTTAACCGGTTCAATTAGTACACTGCAAATTCAAATCGATCAGTATGAGAGCGAAATTGAATCGCTGTTAGCGGGTAAAAAGAAACGGCTGGATCGCGATAAACAGGAGCGCATGGATGATTTGCGGAGTAAGTTGGATCGTCATAAATTCCACATAACCAAACTGGAGACGTTGCTGCGACTGCTGGACAACGATGGTGTCGAGGCGGATCAAGTGAACAAAATTAAAGATGATGTCGAATACTATATCGATTCGTCGCAAGAGCCCGATTTCGAGGAAAACGAGTTCATCTACGATGACATTATCGGACTGGATGAAGTAGAGCTGAGCGGTACGGCCACAACGGACAGTAACAATAGCAACGAAACGAGCGGCTCGCCCAGCAGCGTAACATCCGGCGGCAGTCCATCGCAATCGCCCGTTACAGTGCAGCAGGTGTTGCCATCCTCCTCCTCCTCCGCACAGCAGCAGCAGACGTCGACGGCGGGCAGCAGCAGCGCAGGCAGTGGCACCAGCGCCGCTAGTGCAGCCCAATTCCAGCACTTGCAGGCGGCCGCAGCAGCAGCGGCAGCCGTCGCTGCACAGCAATCGAATGGTAATAATGTGGGCTATGCGAGCGACACCAGCGCAGCTTCATCCTCAGCGACAACGTCCACCGAGGCGACAACAGGTGGCGAGAAGCGCAACAAAAGCAGCGAAAGCAATGCGAATAGCAGCAAAGCGAAGGTAAGTGTTTACCACCAAATAAACTAAACTAACTAATAATAGTGTTGCATGGGGTGCCGTTTGAATCATTAATCGTGCAGTACAGACATGCTGTATATATTATTAGCTATATTTATATATTACATGCATTATTTATTTGAACGAATTAATTTTTAAGCAATTGCGCGGTATAGTAGTTCCCATCAATGTGCATTTGTAACAGAAGTGTGAGAAATAAACAAATTAGTCTGCTCCATTTGCACGAAATGTTATTGAAGTAGTACAATTATAGACTGATTCTTAAATTCCTCTGATTATAATATATATTATCTGTTGAGTTTATTGGTATGGCTTACCAAATAGCTCATCAACTGAGAATATCTTATTTTATTGCTTTTTTTTCTAATGCTATAACTGCAACAAGAAGCATCTACAAAGATTAGAACGATATAAGTATTAGACCTATATTAAACTCAATTGTAAATTGTCAATTAGTTTTCTCTTGAAAGATAAAAACTGCCTTGAATAGCATTAATTTCCTTCTATTTGAATACTAAATTTAGAGGAATAGATATTGATTGAGCTCTATTAATGAACGTTCTAACTTAACAGAGTAAAATATGATCTTTTCAATATAAATACATAAATATTATAGCTAGCCCATATCTGTAACGTCATTTAATTCAGGCGATTATTCTCAAATACATTTTAGAATATTACAATGTGTAGTGAGTAGCAAATTATAAGTAAATAAAAAAGCAGTATATGTTTATTTAAAATACAAATTATATATTAATTTAAATCAATTTTGTTCACTAATACTTAACATATATTTTGCATATTTTTTTTATCACAGCAACCTCAACAGCCGATCAAGCCGACGCCAGTGCGTGCCACAGCTAAAGTGCCCGCGGGTAGTGATAGTAAGTTTGAAAGCTTTATATCAATTGGCTGGTTAACTTACTAATGGACTAAATTCTATTAGCAGCTCAAGTCAATAAGATTGTTAGCTCAACGCCCAGCAAAAACCAACAGCAGCAGCAGCAGCTACCCACGGTCGCTTCCGTTTTGGCGTCTAGCGGGACACAGAACAACAACAACAACAGCAACAATAACAACAACAGCAGCAGTAGCAGCAGCAACATTGTCGCTGCTAGTGGTCACAATCCTGCCGTGCAGCCACACGCCCCAACGCCTGGTCTGAGTGCAACCAACATCGCTGTACCCGCAGCAACAGCAGCAGCGGCAGCCGTTGCAGCTGTTGCAGCAACAGCATCAGCGAGCAACAGCAGCAATAACATTCAAGGCCAATCTGTGATTCAAGCGACACCAACAATTGCATTTGCAGCGGTGGCTAAACACAACACATGTACGTCCAAAATACTTTATAAATATGTTAAAATTTATTCTAAATATAATTCACATTTATAGCACTACTGGAAAACGGACCTGTCTCGCAGCAGCAGGCAACGGCGCCGACGGTGGCGGCCATTGTAAGCGCAAATGCACAGGCCCAACAACAACAACAGCAGCAGCAACAACAGGCAGCGCAATTATCCAATCTTCAAACGAATTCCTCACACATGCAAAACGGTAATATATTTGGATTAAAAATTAGCCAATGGCTGAGCTTAACTATAATTTAGTTATAGTTTTTTTTTACACTTGATAAATGTTAATAGTTTTGATCAATTAATAATTGTAAATGATGGTAATCATATGATAATAGTTATAATCTGCAGATTTGACCAACGCCAAACCAAAACTTGAAATAGAAAGGCTTTAGGAATACTTTTGCCGAGGATATTTTCAATTTTAGACTTTGATATTGCAGGCAGTAGAATGGATTATCATTTATTACTAGATAGCGAAAAGTTTATGCTGAGATTCTTGTTAAGAACATGATTCTTATGTTTAGGCTGGGAAGCAATTACATGATAATAGTTGTCTACCTTAATATTCCTATAATATCGTATATGTATGAAATATGACTTGTAAAACATTGACATTATAGGAATATTATTAGAAAGTAACATATTTATCATAGAGTTAAATCCCAGGTGAGTACAAATATTGTATATTGTATTAATGCAAACTGAATAGAAATCAATAGAAATTAATTGGCTAACTCATGCCTTTTAAAAGTATTCAAACTTTGTAGTCTTCAAAGCTAACAGTCATAGTTTGTTTATTTGAAGTAATTGCTGTTATGTAATGCTTATTGCTATTTGTTTCGATTACATTTTCAGGTCTGCCCGTCTCACTCAGTAGTAGCAGCAGCGGCAGCAGCAACAGCAGCAGCAATAACAACAGTAATGCTGTCGATGCGATTTCATTGAAAACCATGGCACAGGAAGCCATCAATCGATCTGTGATCGAGCCCAATTCCCTAAATCAACAACAGGCAAGTAATATAGATACGAGACAGCAGCAGCAGCAGCAACAGCAGGCGCAGCAACAAGCAGCGCAGCAATCATTGCTGCAACAGCATTTCAGCACCGAAACAACTGCCAACCAACAACAGCAACAGCAGCTCCAGCAACAACAAGCAGCGACAGCGGCGGCAGCAGCAGCGGCAGCAGTGCAACAACAAAATGCAGCAGCCGCAGCTGCAGCAGTTGCAGCAATTGGTACAATCGTCGGTTCTGCCAGCAATGGCCCCACAGCTGGCAGTGGACTCATGAATCTGGCGAATGCTGCTGGTCAGCCAACAGCCGTCAGTGGTGGTGTTGTCGTCACATCCAATGCCAAGACGCATACAGCGCAACAGCAGCAACAACAACAGCAGCAGCAGCAGCAACAACAACAGCAGCAACAGCAGCAAATGGCCACAACGGAGGCGCACATACCACCGCTGTTAGGTGTAACGCCGTTGGGTCCAACGCCGCTGCAAAAGGAGCATCAGCTGCAGTTCCAAATGATGGAAGCCGCATATTATCACCTGCCACAGCCCATTGATACGGAGAAGCTGCAAACATATTTTCATCGCTCACCGGTGCAAACACCAGCGCATTATCCACAGGTGAGTCAGGCACACTGATTCCCTTGTTCATCCAACATTACTGATGAATTTTCTTGTCCTCTTTTTGTTTTCTATTATTTTGCTTGTTCGCATTCTAGGCCCAGCTGCCCATTTACGATACTGTTGAGTTCTATCAACGACTATCGACGGAGACGCTCTTCTTTGTGTTCTACTACATGGAGGGCTCCAAGGCGCAATATCTTGCAGCGAAGGCGCTCAAAAAGCAAAGCTGGCGCTTCCACACCAAATACATGATGTGGTTTCAACGGCACGAGGAGCCGAAGATTATCAACGATGATTACGAACAGGTGAGTTTGTGTCAACAAATAAAATAACATTTATCTAAGCATGAACTCAGATCAAGTTGACTTACAATTCATAGCTTATCAAAAAGGAACTGAATTTATTAATAATTATTATTATTTTTTTTTTTTTTGAGATTTGATTTGGGGGCTTTAAATTGTTTGTTTCGAATAATGTCAGAAAAGATTTTAATATATTTTTAGCAAATACGAAATATATAATTTCAACAACAAAAAAATTAGTTCGATTATTTTTATTTGAATTTATCTGCGCCTTGAATCAATTGTATGATAAAAATTTTATGTTTAATTGAAACATATATTTCCTTTTCCATATTGTAGATGTGTTATAATTTTATAAATCGCTATTTTGCAGGGTACGTACATCTACTTCGATTATGAGAAATGGGGTCAGCGCAAAAAGGAGGGCTTCACCTTTGAATACAAGTACTTAGAAGACAAGGAGCTGAATTGAATTAAATGCTGCGTTGTTGTGATGCGGATGCGTCGGCTGTCTAAGAGGAAATCAATTCATAGCTACAATCTTACTGGAATCAATAGCAAACAATAATACCATACCATACCCCACATCCGATCAGAGGAATACAAAACTCTCTCATTGTCAACCATTGAACAGAATCAGAAAACTCTATCACAAACGCATACACACATATATATAGACTCACAGCTAAATCCATAAACTAATGAAAGAGATCTTGTGTAAGAGAAACGATACAGCAAAGTATAAGTAAAAAGGGAAGAAACGGATAACAAGGCAAAAGAAAACAAAAAATATTGAAGTACGATACTGTTAGTTGTTCGGAAACCGCATGTAAAAACATATGCTTTTTTATATAAATGTTTTATTGTTTATTATTTTTTTTTTTTTTAAGAATTACTTTCCTACACATAACTAAAAGAAAAAAGATATAAAGAAACTAAAACTATAAAAAAGTTATGCAAAATACGTGCAAGAATTTGAATTATCTGGCAGTTGTTCCTTCGCCCCGCCCACGTCCATTTCCATGCAGCCGCTCCCGCTACGCCACACCGCGCTCCCCACAAAAACTCCAATTTAGTATATCGCTTAGCGTTCTCATGCATAATTCCCTCCGCTCCCGCCTCTGCCCTGCCCCGCCCCCACACTCCTCATCCATCGCACTTGCATCATGTATAAAGAGCGCAGCAGTGTGCAGTAAATACTTTTAATTATAAACAAATTTAGCGCACCGAATTTTTTTCAATGCGTTTGATTAGAAACGTAAAAGAGTAAAAGTAAAAAGAAAAACTCGTGAGAATAAAAGTAAACACTAATAGAACTTCAGCTGATCTTATTTAAATTTAATAATGTAATTACGATTACTAAGATCATTGATTAAGTTGAGCATGATAACAACAAACAAACAACAAATTAATGCGTAAAAATACCTTTTTTTTAAATGTAAGCATAATAAAAACAAAACGTGAGTAAATAGTTGAAACATGTTTAGTGTTTTTCTTTCGTTTTATTTCATTCAACTATTTGCATTATTTTACTTTTATTTGTTTCCCCACTTTAGCCTATTTAAATCCGCTGATCAGTTGAGCCTCAATTTTGATCACAAATAAAAAACAACAAAAAAGACAAAAAAAAATGAGAAATGTTAATAAGTCATATATAGTCGAATGGTATAAACAAATGCATTTTAGAATGTTTTTGCGTAAACATAGCACTTTTTGCTAAAGTAAAAAACAAATAAAGAACGAAATACATATTTAACAATTTTACAAGATTAGTTTTAAACGAAAACACAACACAAATGCATGCAAAAAAAAAAAAAAAACACATTTTAAAGATTATTACAAAAAAAAAAATGCATTAAAATATACATACAATTATACGCCGCCCATTGCGTACTGGATTTTATTAAAAATACAATTATATGGATATTTCTGGTTAACATTTAGATATTTTTAATAGAAGAGTTCGTTTTCTGTTGCGTCTCATACTGGACTCTCAAAAGGATTTATGTATGTATGTATGTGTACTGTCGCATCACACAATCATACTTATGTATGTATATGCAATGCTGAGTATCAACGCCCGCGTTCATACGTAGTGTGATCATATATTCTCTTATACGTATTCCAGCCTATTGTGTTGAGTATAAGTAATTTCTTATACGCTCTTCTTTGGTGTGCAAGCTGTTGTCCTTCCTGGGTATGTAGTATGTATGTATGTATGCCTAAGTTAAGGTCCATGTATGCACGTATGTGTGCAGTCTTTATTGGAATTTGGAAGACAGCAGATGTGCGTCTGCTATTATCTTTGGAAAAGAAAATTGTTTACAAAATTATTTACATATATATGTAGCTATATAAATTTATTTCCAATCGGATAGTTGTATTATACTATATAGAATTGTGTTATTGAATTTGTGTATATAATTTTATGTTTAGTGCTTCGCAAGAAATTGTATTGAGCTGTTGTTGTTGGTAAGTGAGGCAAAAGTATTCAATTGTAACAGTAATCTGTCTTCATCTTACATTGCAATGGTAGGCTTCTTGCTTATTCCTCCTTCACTTTTATTCGTATGTATGAACGTTTTAATACAACTTATGTATGTACATACATATGTGCTTTGTGCGAGCAGAATGCATTATGGTCTGCCTCAAAATAAAGGGTATCAAAATATTTCCCACACACTAATCTAAAGGAATTAATACTTATGAATGACATTTCTATTTGTTTAATATGAATAGAGCTAAAAGCGAAATAAATAGATTAGATTTGGTTGATAAGAGAACAATTCTAAGGGCTTTGCACTGCTGGAAAGATAACGCGTAAATAAACTTTTTTTATGTGACTATAAAATCTATTTTAGCCAAATGATGGGTGTGTGCGCCATGACTAATTATGATATCCATACTAGAATACCCCCAAGACGTTCGCCAGAATTTCAACGACTGACCAAAACATTCCATTAGTCATACAGGAGTATGTGTTCCAGGCATACTATATAATAAATCAATCCATAATCGCTTGCATTTAAAAAGAACTTTAGTATTTAAAAGTTGAGCAATTCTTAATGTTCTAATGGGACTTTAGTTACTGTTTTAGATTACTCTTTCATTTTCTATTTGAGATTTCTGTAAAGTTAAAGTTGTTATATTAAAAAGTTAAAATTGTTCTATTTTATTTTAATCTATTCGACGAATGGATAAAAATAATATAATAAAATAATATAATAAAATAATATAATTTTTATTTGTCTACCTGCCTCTGTGGCCAACCCATGTTTCTCTAAAAAGACTTAATATATTCTTTTGAAATGTTAACGAGCATAAAAACCAACTCTTCTTCTTTCGCCAATAAAATGAAGCACCTGTTAGTCATTGTATACTTTATATTATATTTAGTAGATAAGTTGGCATAAGTATTTCATATATTATACTAATCTCTTCTTAAACAGTGTAGATCTTTGGTAATAATATTTCGGGACTAGAATTATTAGGGACCCATTAATTAAATTTTGATTAAATTCACACTTGCTTTATCCGAACAGTCTGTACGGTTCCAATTGGAACATAAATCCCAATAAGTAGAATAGACAAACATGTTTTGTTTTGATCAAGAATATATTTGATAATTCTGCGATAATTTCTATAATGAATTACAATTTTAATTATAATAAACCAATCCAATGACATTGACAAAAATGCTAAAAGAAATGCATAAAATAGATTCTTTTATATATACATACATACGCTCCATGTTTGCGTATTGGAATTTTTGCATTCTGTACAGAAGTTGTACTAAAAAGTAAATATAGAAAAAAAAAGAGAATAAGATGAACCGTAAATTTGTTAATGTGAAAGGATTACCAATGACAATGACAATGACAATGACAACTAAAATTAAACTAGAATGGAACAAGAAAGACGGCGGCAGATATAGACTTAAGAACAATCGATTTTGGACTGCTTACGATGACTACTAGACCTTGGAGGTCTCCGCATCGTTACCCCAGACGACATCATCCTCATCCTCATCGTGACCCCAGCCGAGATCTGCCTCGGCATCGGTTTCATGGCCATTCGACGTCGTCGCTGCTGCCGCGAAGCGACTCGCATCGATTTGGACAATTTCCGGTTCACTGATGGCAGCGATCTTTGTCTCAATCACCGGCTCCATGTCCTTGAAGAAGTCAAACTCAGCCGACTCCGTGGTGTTGGCCGGCGTTGTCAACTGCACCTGTATGTCCAGCGCACTGAGATCATCGATGAGCATGCGATTGGCCGGTGGTGCTGAGGTCTTTGTAGCGCCTGTTGATAGACTGGAGCAGGCGGTGCGGAATGAGTCGGTGAGCGAGGGTTGGGTGGCCTGTGTCGAGGTGCTGCTATTGGTCTCCAAATTGTTTAGATTCAACTCATCCAAGGTCTCCTGCTTGACATGCAGGCGCTGTAGTTCATCCGTATTCTCCCAATCGGACCACGCATTATCCTCATCCTCATCCGCATCCTCATCGTTGACCAATGTCTGTTCGTGCGCTGCGCTGCTCGTGGAGCTGTTGGCATGCTCCGTATTGTTGTCGCCGCCGCCGCTGCTGCTGCTCTGGCTGAGCTCCAATGGTTTCTCATTCAGATTCGTGATGCTCTTCTCGTCCTCGCCACCATCCGGACTCAGGCGCAATGGCATCGGCGCCACATTGGTCTCCACGGGCAACGGACTGCCCGAGACCATATAATCCACGGCATCCACAGCGTTGCCGTTCATGAGAGGCGTAATCGAGCGCGGCTCTGTCCAGGGTGTGCTGCTGTCCGTGGAGACGGCCGCATGGGGTCGCCCGTCCGAGAAGCAACGTCTCCGATCTCCGCCCAGTACAGTAGCTGCACCCAGAATGGGCACCAGATCGGCCAGGCAGCGCAATGTCTTGGCCACCAGTACATCGTTTGTATCGCCCATGCCCAGCTGCAAATGCGGCAATATTTCGCTCTTCAGCTGCTCGTCGCTCAACAGACGCACATACTCCATGAAGTAGTCCAGTAGAATGAGTCGAATCTGTGCATCGCGCAATCGAAACATTTTCAATATATGCGGCATCAGATAATGCAAATAGGTCTGCGGCGAGAAGAGGGCGGCGGTGCCGTTCTCTGTCTTGGTGCGCAGCACGTAGGGAGTGACGCAGTGCTGGGCGGTGGGATCGAGCAGTACCATGCGTGACAGCAGATCGCTGGCCAGCTGAGAGGCAACCACTTGCTCATCGAAGCAACGCAGACGTTCAATTAGATTACTAAAGAATTGCTGACGCTCCTGCACCGACTTCAAGGGCAGCTCGAACAGAAATGAATGGATTAGTACGAATTCGTGATTGAAATATGGATGCAAGAGCACGGCCGATAGCTTGGGACGCATCTCAACATTGAGGTGCTTCAGGTGTGTGCTGCAATACTCGCGAAATTCTTGTACGTACGGCGTGCTGGCCTTACCCTCGCGGGGGCCACACTTGTCCAGCACCTGCTCGCAGAGGGTGGCGAAGGCGAACTGTTCCAGGCCCAGTTCGCTATTGGCCGAATCTCGGGCCAGTGGCTGGCGAAAGCTGTGCGCCAAGTCAATAAGCTGTTGATTTAAGTCCTTTGCCTTCCACACAAACTCAAAGCCGGCCAAGCGCCAGCTACCCTTCTCCGTCACATAAATGGATTGTGTGCATATATTGAGATGTCGGGCCATCGCTTTTTCAATCAGAAATATTAGACTGCAGAGTATGGTGCGCAAGCCAAGGCACACCTGTATGTCGCTCTGCTGGGCCAGCACATCGTTGAGGGGTCTTACGCGTTCCGTGGCCAAATGCTTCTGTCCGGACTCATCCCATGTTGACATATATTTCAGTATATACGGATGACGATAGATCATCAGATTCTACACACATTTGATACATTCAAAGTGAGTTAATTGCCCTTTACAGCATTTCGTACTTGTGGCATTTACCTTTATGGCACGTTCCATTGGCCCTTGGGCCGCCCACAGCTGGCCCTTGACGAGAACTTCACCTTTGAATATGGACAGCTCCTGGCCGCCGCCGCCCTCCTCGTTGCATGTCGTTGGCGATTCGGCATTGTAGAGTGCCCAAAAATCATTCACTTCGATTGCGTTTTTATCAATAATCAGCCCTTTTAGTTTGCTGCCTTCATTGCCCATTTTTTATAAACATTAAGAGATAACATTTATGTTAGGTCAACGTCTTGCACAACGTAAGTGTAACATTTGCACAACGCAACACTGTCCTGTTAAGAGACTTGAGTACGTAAATATCATAATGTTAACAAACAGCTGTGCTGGGACGTCACATCTTCGGCTGTTATTCGATTTGAAGGTTGGCGGGAACTTATGGAAAGATCTTTCCGATACTAAGATTAATACAAATTTTCTTTGCTTAATATTATTAAAACAACTAAGTAAATAATTAAACTAATTTCGACAGCAGCATATATTCTATGCAAATCATCTTTAGCTGTTAGCCGAACTGTTAACGCAACACTCAGCTTATGTTAACCTGGCTGTGGTTTTCAGAGCAAGAATTATCTTATGTTAACAGAGCAATCAGCATATTTTAAGCTAACAGTGCTGCGAAACGACGATACTGCATATCTGCATATATTTGCAGCACTGGACACTATGCACCAAGTGGAAGGCAAAAAGTTTTCGTTTGTATTGCTCAAAAATAAATAGAAAGAAAAATAAATACAAAATGGATTTGTACGATGACATAGACGCAAAGCCGCGCGCCAGCCAAATGGACGGATGGTCATCGGGCATCAAAATGTTGCAAACACAGTTGGCAGTGAAGAAAGCCCAACTGCCCAAGCCCAAGGCGAGAGATCCAATCAAAAAACCGGTAAGCCCCAATTATCCACGCTCATCCGCACTTGTATTGTAATTACAATTTATCATTTACAGCTTATGACACCTGTGGTGAATCTGCGCGCCAAGCGCACTTCAGACTCTGACAGCTTTGTGCCCGTGACTGTGGCCGTCAAGCCAACTACGAGCACCACAGTGGCAGCAGCTCCTCCGGTTCTGGATAGCATCAAGACAGACGATTGGGATTTTGTGGACGAATACGATCCGCAGTGGCCCAATGAATATGAGAAGCTGAAGGATAAATCGAAATCCAATGACAAGTCACGTAACAGTGGCGGCAACGCCAGTCGTGGGGAGGATCGCGATCGAGACAGAGATCGGGATCGGGATCGCAAGCGTAGTCGTGGTGGCGGACGCCGAGACACGCACAATCATGACAACTCCCCACCTAGCGTGAAATTCAGCGGATTTAGCCAACGACAAAGTGACGAGGACCGTTACAGTCCGCCAGCGCCGGGCTCAGTGGCCAAACAGGGCGGTGGTGCAGCCATTGCGCCACCACCATCTCTGTCCATCGACAATGGCGATGGGTCCTCGAATGTAACCATACCCTATAGCGCCAGCTCTGTGGCGGCGAAGATAATGGCCAAATACGGCTTTAAGGATGGCCAAGGCTTGGGCAAATCGGAGCAGGGCATGTCTGTGGCTCTACAAGTGGAGAAAACATCGAAACGCGGTGGTCGTATCATACATGAAAAGGATGTATTTCTACCGCCACCGCCGTCAACCTCACCACCTCTGCCCCAACTGCCTGCCGTGACCGCATCGCCATCAGTTTCGAGTCCAGGTCCTACTGCTGCAGCACCTGGCTCGATGCCACCGCCAGCATTGCCAGGCATTGTTCCGTCAGCACCTGCCCCGGCAACCGCCAGTGAGCCAGAGCCTAGCATAACCGAAATCATGAAGGCACCTAGTAAAGTGGTGCTCCTTCGCAATATGGTCGGACCGGGCGACGTGGACGAGGAGCTCGAGCCCGAGGTCAAGGATGAATGCAACACAAAGTATGGCGAAGTGAACAGTGTTATCATACATGAAGCCTTTGGTACGGTTCCGGAGGATGCGGTCAAAATATTTGTGGAGTTCAAACGTATTGAGAGCGCTATCAAAGGTGAGTTTTTAATTTAAATTAATCAATAAAATCGCATTCAATATTCTCATCATATCTTACAGCTGTTGTAGATTTGAATGGGCGATTTTTTGGCGGACGTCAAGTACGTGCTGGGTTTTACGACTTTGATAAATTTAAGAGTTTTCAATTGAATTAAGTCAATAAAAATAATTTGATATACATTTAATATTTAAAATTTAAATCAAGCAAAGCGCCCTCTATTTGTTTGTGTTGTGATTTTTCGGCCCAATCTATATTGGTATGACAGAGTTGCTAGTGCTTGTAATCGATAATTGCAGCTGGTTGTGGCAACTCTACTAAATCTGACATACACGCTACGACCAACCAGTTGACTAATGGGCGTAATATAAATATGTTTCTGATTGAATTGCGTTTTTAAATTGCTGGCTAAGCGATTTTCAACATATCTGGCCAAGCAACTCACTTTCACGACAAAGCTAACAACAGCTCAATCGAAGTAGGCATTTGATTATATTGTGACAACTCACAATAGCTGGTTGTATCGTGTCTAGTACACATAGCTAGTGCAGAGGTTTGGTTTGAGAACTGAAAACAATTATCGCAAATATTATTCGCTTTCGCTGTGTTGCAAAATTGATTAACGAAAACAACATAAAAACCAAGGTGAGTTAACGACGCTCCTTCGTGTATTCTATCCAGTTGATTAATTGTGTGTGCGTGTTAATAGACAAAACAAGAAGCGCAAAGAAAATATTAAGTCTTGTGTTTTGCTGTTTTTTTTCTCTTCTTTTGCGCGAATACATAAGTCAAAGCAAACGAACAGATAGCAGTGCAGAACGGTAAATTCTCCAAATGTCAACGACACAGAGTCAATTGTAATTAAATTCAATTAAGCTGCAGCTCATACTTAATTTGTGTATCAATTTTCATAAGTGAAAAAGAGAACAACTGAGAAAAAAAAAACAATACGAGACGCAGGCCGCACTCGTTGCCCCTTCGCCTTCAAGTCCACGTTAAACTCGTGCCCAGCCACTGCCTGCAGCTGTAGTAGTGGTAGTGATTGTTGTTGTTGGTGTAGCTGTAATAACTGCAGCGCAAACACATATATGTGTGTATATAAACGCAAACACTACCAGGCAGACAAACGACGACTGATCACAATTGTGCTCGATGCGCTTTATGCCAATCAACAACAAAAGTTTTGCATTGTTCGCAGCTTTCCCTACTCCCACCGACGCCCAGCAGCAGCAGCAGCGGCAGCAGTAGCAGTAGCAGCAGTAACGGCCATATCAACAACAACAACATCAATAATAACTGTAGTTGCTATATCCATCCCATCCAAGTAGTTGTTGTTGGGGCCATGGGCCCGCTATCGCCGCTTTGTATTTGTGCTGGAAGGTAAGGGGCAAACTCTACCACCCAATTTAGGGATTTGGCTACTACCACTGTTGTTGTTCGAACTCTCTTCTCTCTATCTCTCACTATCCGTTCCCTCGCACATTCCGTCTATTGCACTATTATTCAATATATTGCACGCACATGAATACAAAGCTATTTATGTATGTATAAATATTTCTGCTGCTCAGTTCGGCTTCTTCTCCTTCCTTTTACTCGTTCCAAAGTGGAGCAGACGCGCCCCGATCATATACAAACATACATATGTAAATACAAACAAGCCGTTTTTTTCGGCTAACCTCCCGCTCTCCCTCCCACACACACTTAGGCAAACATACGCATACATGCGAGTACTCATTTGTGTTGCCCGCTTCTTCAATTATATTTTCAAAATAATCTATTTTTATACGAAACATTATTTTGCGCCTGGTACTCTGAAGTATTTTATTTTTCTTCTTGTATACACTACGACAGCAGCACATATTGAAAAATCGGAGAACTAATTGACTGCATGTTGCCAGCCCTTCATAAGTCCTGTGCGGATTTTTGTTTTTGTTAGTTAACAACAGTTATTTATAGAGCTTTCAGCACTTTAACTGAAATTGACTTTGAAAAGTACAATTTGACTGGGTCAGCATGAGCTTTGATATAAAAGAAGCAGCTGGAACTGATTTCATTTGGAATTAATACAAATATTTATACTTCAATAGTTAATAAATCTCTATGTTTTGGTCCCATGAACTAAGCCTAAAACAGTAATCAATACAACTTCCATGAATAAGTATAGTTCTATAAGCCATGTGTTTTATATGTAATAATTCTAACAATATTATATGGAATTCATGTATTTCCTCTGGAAATGCATATTACACATTTGAATTTATCATAAATAGCTGCTACACACGTTCGGTAATCTGAGACAAAACAAAAATAGTTTTATTCTTTTAAATTCAAATTCAATTTTTATTATTTTTTTTTGTAGTATTGTTTTGTATTTTTTTTTTTATATATATACATATATCAGATTTTAAAAGAAATTTATATTTCATAAATATTTTGAATGCATATATTTGTTTTAATAATTAACATGAGTGAGGTTCCATAGAAAATTTTAATTGAATAATTTTTGTTTCATTTGCGCTAGTTACATAAATTTAAAAAAATGAATGCAGAAATTCTTTGGCCTTTTTATGCTCATTTTTTGTTATATTTTAATCTTTTTACTAACTAGCAAATGTTTTGATCGAATGTGCCTTGATTTGGAACTCTTGAACTTGCAAGTCAGTCAACTTTTGGGTCGCCCTGTTTAGTGTACAGAAATTTTGTAACACTCGATCAAATTTAACCTATCCAGCTAAATACATTTTATCAGATATAGATTTTACTGTATGACTGTCTGTGCGCCTTTCACACTTTTCAGTTATGGTCTTGGTCAACGAATGGCACAGCATTAAGGATGACGAGCAAAAGCCCAATGCGGCAGCAGCAGCAGCAGCATCAACAATCTCAACAGCAGTTGCTGCAGCAGCATTAGCAGCAACAGCTGCAAATAACGGCATTGCCAGCGTTAATACCTCAAGCTCAACAACAATTGACCAAGATTTAACCTCTAGACCAGTGGCTGTTGCCAGCGGCGTTGAATTGTCCAAGCGCCAGCAGCGCGTCCATAAGAAGGCGCATATGATGGAGCTGAACAAGAAGGCCCAACAGGAGCAACAGCAGCAGCAACAACAACAGCAGTTGTTAATGCGCGAAAAGCACGAGACCGAAACGTGTGAGCTGTCCACAGAGAACAACAGCAATAGCATCAGTAATAGCAACAGCAACAGCAACAACAGCATCGACAACAACATTATAGGCAATAATGATGCCAACGACAATATGGAAAATCAGGAGAACAATAATACGACTGCGACAGAGACCTGTGATTCCAATACGAACACATTGCTGCAGGTGAGTTAATTGATTGCAATTACATATTAAATACATTTAATTGATTTTTGATTATGGCAATTCCAGGGCCAGCTGGCACAGAAACAGGCGCAACTACACATGGCCATGAATTCGGTGCTAAATGCCAATAATACAACGACGGGCGGAAATTTATTCAGCTCGATGGGTGCCTTACAATTGCCGAATGAGGCTTCGAATACGCTTCTCAGCAACGTGCAGGACATGTCGCCCGGCGAGGCCAGAATTGTGCTGCAATGCGAGTTGAAATCGCATAAGTTTGAGACGCGCAACATACTGCTGGCACCGGGACAGGAGTGCAAGGTCGGGCGTCTGATTGCCAAGAGCAAGGCGAGCGAGAACAATGCCATATTCGATTGTAAAGTGTTGTCGCGCAATCATGCCATGCTATGGTATACGACCGACGGCCGTTTCTGGGTAAAGGACACAAAGTCGAGCAACGGCACCTTCATCAACGACAACAAACTGGGCAACGAGCCGGCCGAGCTGCACAATGGTGATATCGTCAAGTTTGGCGTTGAGGTGATCGAGAATTCGCGTCAGGAGGTGCATGGCTGCATTATTGCGCGCGTGACATTGTATTTGCCCGACGGACGGGAGGCTATCTCAATAGAGTCGGAGCAGTTGCAGATGACGGGACCAAACCGGATTAGCTATGATGAGATACAGCGACTCAATGCATTTCTACAGGAGGCTGCGCAGCGTGAGAAGATGCTGAAAGCGAAGCTCAGCAATTTGCAGGGCGTGCTCGATTCGACGCGTAAGAACTCGGCCATGTGCTGGCAGAGCATGATCACCGAGGATCAGCTCTTGCACAAGATCAATCTGCTCGAGAAGAAGTTGCAAATGATGGAGAAGAACGTGCCCGAGAATACATTACGCAACGAGGTGAGTGTGTGGGGCTTTAAAGATGGAGTAGAAGTTTATGTAGTATACTTTTGGGAGTCATTATGAGAGATGATACTAAGTTTTCTTATACTGCAGGTTGTTAAATTGCTTGAGGATAAGACCTCGTATCAGCTAACTGCCAAAGAGGCGCTGCGCAAGGTCTATCAGGATCGTTGCGATGCCATGCAAATGCTGTCGAAGATGGAGATGGCCTACACAACATCGGATAATGAGTGCAGCATATTGCGCACTCAGATCTTAAGTTCGAAGCAAACTTTACAGGACTTTAACGAACGATTGGAGCAGCTGCAGCAGGAGTATATGGACTACAAGCAGGAGACGATGCGTCAACAGCAAGAGGCTAAGGAACTGGAGGAGCAGCGACTTGCGCAGCATAAGGAGCAGCTAATCGCGCATGAGACCGAAATGGAACAGATGCGCCAACAGCTGATGCAACTGCAGCAAACCATTGCTGCTCATGACAGCGAGCAGGCGCTGCAGCAGCAACAGACGCTGGAGCAACTGAATGCGGCTATCGGTGTCGGTGAAGATGACGACGACGATGATGATGATGGCGGCGATGAGGATGCCGATGATGTTGCTGACGCAGACATTGAGGATGCGGCGAATGACGAAGAAGTGAATAGCGCTGACATCAAGGAGGATAAGGAAGCAGGAGATTATGATAGTTGCGCAGTTGCTAGAGACGAATTTGAGGTACATGAAGGTGCACGAATCATCGAGCTGCACGACAAGGAGAACCAAACATCAATTCCCAACAAAACAAAATCTGTAAGCGAACTTTTATATAATGATACCAATGTCCTTAATACGTTTCGTTTTTGCAGAACAAGAAGACCAAACGGCAGCAGTTGGACGAATTCGATTTTAAGCACAAGGTGATACGCAAAGGTACCATGATGAAGCTGCTCAAGAACTCGGATCTCAAGGGCGCCGATGGTGGCGACGTATTGAAGGCTATATTCAATGCAGCCGACTCTGGCGAGGAAGATGATGAAGAGCCTGAATCAAAGTTGGATTCACCGGAGGCATCGCCAATAGGCGGAGCTACCTTTGCCGAAGTTGCCTGTGATGAGTTTATACACAAGTCACCTAAACACACACGCCTCAATGGCATCGATGAGGCCACCGAGGAGTCGCAGTCGGGGCACAAGCTGGAGACACAAGAGACGCTCGTGCACAGCTTCGAAGAACTGCTCGATGCTGACCTACCGCAGGAGCATGCCGTGGATATGTTGCACGAAGAGTGTATATTCTATAAGAAAAAATCAGCTAAGCTAACCAACGACATAAGCAATCTGGAGGAGGAGATGAATAACCTTAAGCAGCAGCTACAGGATCTGCTAGAGCCACAGGGAAAAGCACAGGCACGCAGTGCCAGTGGGGCAGACGAGAAGGATAAAAGCGCCGAGGGCGCCACTAGTGATGAGGAGAAGCCGCTGTTGTCGGAAAAGGATGTTTATGGAGACCTCTCCAGCTGGCACGACGATGTCAACATCATGAACGATGCGCAAGTGGAACGTGAGGAGGAGCTGATCGTGTACAAGGAACGCCTGGAGCAGTCCGAAATGAGCAACATTGCATTACGCAAAGAGATATCTGAGCTGCGACTCAAGCAGCCAATGCTCCAAGATTATAATCTCTTATATCGTCGTGCTCTACCCCTTGGCTGTGTGGCGTTGGCGGCGATTATCTACTTTTTGTCCATTCGCTTTTAACACTCGGGAAGTCAGCACTGCGAAAACGTCGTACCTACAGCAAAACGAGATTCAACAAACATATATCTATACATATATACAATATACAACACCTTGTGGGGTGGGAACATGCGAGGGCGCGTGTTGGATGCTGGATGTGCACTATAGGAAAAAACAAAAAAACGTGAAACAAAAATAATGGAAGTGGATGTAAAGTATGCAAATCGGATAAACGCAGTTATACAGTTACAATATTTATATATCTACACATACGTATAGATACATATATATATATATATATATTCGATGTACATATATATATGCGTATATATACATCTATCTTCACAATCGAGCTTTACTCGCCATTTTCTATTCTGTTCTATCTTTCTCATATTTTGGACCACAAAATTTTTAGTTGTAAATTGAAATTGAAACGAACAAAACCCAACAAAAATATTAACCCAAGCGTGCGCAAATACATATTTACACAACTCATACATACACAGCACTGACACACACACACATATATATACACTCATTCATATACGCTCACACAACCATGGTTAGTTAATTCGGAAGTAATTATATTTAATGAAATTCACCAGAACGACTTTTTTTGATATGAACCTTATTTTTTTCTAATGGTGCGATTTATATATATGAGAAACCTTCGAATTGTGTACAAATCTAGAAGAACAGAGGCGCCTGGAACTCCTCGGATTGGCGGCGAATCGATCATTAAGTTTAGCATTAAGTTGCAATTATTTACCATTACCAGCTATGTTTTATGAAAAACTATATTTACGTATGCTAAATGTTATAAATGTACCATAATTTAGTTGATTTTTATTGTCTGTCGTCTCATTGTAAGCGAAAATGCGTGTAAACCATTTATATATATAAATATTCCGAAGTGAAACGAAAACAAAAATTTTGAAAAATGCTTGCGATATCACAAAACGAAAAGAAAAAAACACTTAAAATGTATGCAAATAAAAAACGAATACAAATGAATAAACACACAACACTATAACGAAACGATGGCATTTACAAATATTTTTCCAATCTTAAGTTAAGATGTATAGAAATAAACTGCTTAAGCAAAAAATACAAATTTTAAATTTGGCGCTTAAATTTTATTTAATGCGCAAGATGTTCTATGTAAAAATATCGTAGCGCGTTTTCATTCCTATCGAATATACTTATCGACTGCGAATACGGCCACACTGGGACTTGTGGATTTTAGTAGTTGATGCACGCAGTCACACGCGGCAGTCTGGTCGGGTTCTCTGTGTTGCGCACGGTTGTCTAAGCGGTGCATTTATTCCCTTTTATTGTGGTACTTTATCAAATATATAAATTAAATGTGAATGTAATGTGAATAACATTTGTTTTACAAAAAGCGGCCGCATCGATTCCGACAAGTATTTGTTTCGCGGTGCAATTATTTTAAGCAACATTGCAGACGACAGAGCCAAGCTATTTGCAGTGGCCGCTAGAGATGAGCGATTCTGTGACTAAAAAGTCACTGTGTCAACCTTTCCTGTGACTACACCTTTCCACATATGTAGCAAGGCAGAGATATCATGTGACGCTGACTGAAAGCCTTTTACTTTCAATTCTCAACATACGTTGCGAAAAGTCACAGGTACACACATACATACACATACCAAATCGCTCATCTCTGGTGTGCTTATGTGAGGTGGGCGTGACGCTAGGCGGTAGCGGCAACGACAACGGCGACCGAAGCGCAGCCAAAGTGAAATGCAAAGAAAGACGGGATTAAATACAGTGAAATAAAAGCATTGCAAAAGCTGCCAGTATTGTTATTGCAATATTGCATGTTCTTTCTCTTTTGTGTTTCTAGCTAAAGGCCAACAAAATCGCAAGTTGCGCTTGTATGCGAGCTTGTATGTGTGTCCGAACGTGTGTAAATGTGTAGTGTGTAGAAAGAGTAAAGCAGAAGCGGCAATAACAACGACACTAACCACAGCGAGAGAGCGCAACTCTGTTTCTGCCTGCAGATGTGGAAATAACTAGCCGAAAAAATATAATAAGAAAGCAATAAGACAACGAAAACTGCCTTGCTGGCTTTACGGATTTACCATCGTCGGCGACGTTGTTACGAAAAAAACAACAAAATAAGAAAAGGTAAGGCCCTGCCATACACAAAATGAATGCATATGAAATATTGCGACTTTTGACATTTCTGTGCAGCAAAACAACAAATGTTGTGTTGATTGAGTGTGCGAATGTGTGTGCGTGTTTGGGTGTGTGTGTGTGTGTATGTTTGCGTGCGTAGATGTGTTTGTTTGAGTTTGTGCAAGTATTTAAAAGATAAGCTGAATTCTCTGATAATAACAGCTGAAGTTGCGTAGTCCAAGTCAGTGTGTCACATTGAGGAATCAGTAATGCAGCAGTTCTCGAATAAAAAAGAATGGGAATAGCTATAAATATGTATATATACAAACATATATATTTTAATTTCCATCTATATATATAAAATATATTTTACTTAAAATGTATATGTATGTAATATATAAATATATGATAAATTTAAAAAAAAAAAATATTTATTAATATATTGAAAACTAATTATATACAGCAAAAATATCTATTTCTGTTTTGTTGATTATCGACATAGGCATATTATTTAAGGGAATAGGTTTTTTTTTTTAATTTTTATATTATTTTAAATTTTTATAAATTTAAGAATCAACTCGTACCTGCCTATCGCCAATCGATCTCTATTAGAGTTCAGATTAATAGATGGAATTCCATTATTATATTTGACAATGTCGCATGTCCAAATTTCAACAAATACTTGTTTTTTGTAACTAGCTTGTTTTCGCCATAACAACGTGAAGCAAACAAAAAACAAACGACAAATATTAATAATTTATTTAAGCTATCTTATTTGCAAAACGTATTACTTATAAATTTTTTTGCGCCACTTATCACAAGTAAACATTCGACACATTTATTATTCCGTTGCTCTTTTCATTGCCTATCTCCAAAAAAAAAAAATAGAAAAAAAAACAAACGTTGCCCGCTCTCTAATATTCTGTTTCGTGCGCTCTTCGCGCTTGTTTCTTTATTTTTTGTTTGCTTTCCGTTTTTTGCCTATCTTCTAATTACACATACAGCACAAGTTAATGAATTCTTCGCTTAGTGTGCTTTACTGTACAGTTTGAAAGTTCTCCACAAGTGTATGTGTGTGACTGATGATTCATAACGGTTAGCGCGCTTATTGCCGTTTGCCTTTTGTTGTCTGTCGCCGTCATTCGCTTAGAATACATGTGTGCTGGCAACATGACGGCTACTTTGCAACATTGTTGCAGCCCAGCATCTTTTTGGCGCTGCCAATGAACTTTTCCCACAAATAAACAAACAACAGCAACAAAAACTTTCACTTAGCGAGCCCATTGAAAGAGATAAATGGCATAAGATAGCCGCCGCCAATTGGCCAATATCCATGACGTGCCACGCACGCAGACCCCAAATAATCCAAACAGTCAATTAAAAATGACAGCGCACCGATTGCGAAAAGTGAAAAGCAATCAAACAAAAAAATCAACAACAATACAAAATAAACAAAAAATACAATAAGACGAAAAAGAAATGAAAATAAAACACACATAATTGCTTATAAAACACCCACGTTGCTCACACGCCGGCTGTGACGTCATTCGACGGCAGGCCAAAGTTGGCAGCTAGCCAGCAACACGCACATGTATCTATACAACACACGATTATGGCGATCAGCTGGCAACATGTGGACGTAGACATACATACATACATATGCTATTTGATTGCAACTGTGGCTTTGCGGTCCTCTGGCGTGTTAAATAACAGATGCCATTCATAATAATACTGTGAAAAATTAGCTAACTGTTTATTTTCCTATGCTAAGCTTAAAGCAGCTGAGGATGACGACGAGACTTGGAGATCAGATTACCAGACAGTCTAGTAAAATGTGTCATACCAAGCAAGTGTGTGTGTGTGTCTGGCTGTCTGTGTGGGTGATAATAAATGAGCAATATCAAGTCGAGCGACAAATGCACTTGCCAAGTGGGAGTACAATATATGTTTATACATGTATGTTTATGCCTATTTATGTACATACATATATATTGATATATACATATATTTATCGCTAAAAGTAATTGCAAATAAATGCAGCTTATTGTTGGTATGGTGTAAACTGTATTAATCTTCTAGAAAACAGAGATCAGGATATCAGATTTTTAAAGGTAGCTTTAATGTTACTTAACAGTTCAAATTTAACAGCAGTGCGTTTCAGTGTTGCTGGGCAGCAAAGGAAACCTGTGTTGCTAAACATTTTGAGGAGTTGCTAGCAGTATAATGTAGAGAACAAAGCTTCTGCAGCACTGAAGAGACCGCATGACGTCACTGACCGAAGCAGGCAGTTCAATGGCTGTCGCCTCAACCGAATACGCCGCTCCTTTATCATACATACATATATATTATGTATAAACATATGTATGTATGTGCACCAAAACACTATGACAAAGCATTTAGCTCGCCGCGCACTTGAGCCTTGCATTAAAAGCGAGTATCAAAAGCCAAAACAAGTGGAATCACAAAGCCATAAACAATGCAAAAGTGACGCGACTTTTTAGCATTGATTGTTTTTTGACTTTTAACGGCAAGTTTTGTTATTTTGTTTTGTTTTCTTTTCTTGCTCCCCACACTTGAAACTGCTCCTTTTTGCAGACTCTTTGTTTACACCCCTAAAGTGCTTCAAATTTCAATGGGTTGCAACGGTTTCAATTTTTTACTGTATGCAATTACACTTGGAGATAAACTTAAGGCAGTTCTGCAAACAGAAAAAATTAATTTATACCTTCAGTTTTACAGTAGCAAACACTATAAATAAAACATATATTAAAATTGGCTAAAAATGAACTGAATAATCAGTTTATAGAACTTTACTTTCTTTCAGTGTATGCTTAACAGGCTGTTAATAACAGTTATTTGGTTTTGCTTTTCCTTTGGTGTAGTATTCATGTTACAGTGAACACTCGAATATGTGGCCCGAGTTAACTTTCACTGTGTTTGGGCTTTTGATTTTATTTTATCTCTGCTTTAATTAGACCCATTGCCTTATTTTATTTTTTATTAGTTTTTCTGCTGCTGTTGTTGTTAGGTTTGCCAAGTTGCAAATTTTTGATAGTACCTCGAGGCGACTATCACACAATTTAGTATTTTTGAATTTCTCTGTTTTGCTTCGAAAGTTTTGGCAGACAAAGAAAGTTGAATGGGCATGCAAATCTGATTGGAAACCAGCTGAATTCGGCTTTCCAGAAGAATTCGGCATAGGAATTACCCATTAAAGTGGTTCGTGTTTCTTTACAAAAATACTCCTCTTATCGCTTTTGCCATTTATTTCATTAAAGACTGTCGAAGTGATTTTCCTTTAGTTATTTTGTATTTATTTAGCTAGTGTAGGTAAATATTGATAACAGGTAGCACTGGCTAACAAGTTCCGCTCGGTGACTTAGGTTAATTAGAAAAAGTTTCTTTGTTTGGATCAATAAACTTAACTACTGGAATAACAAACTACTTTCTAGGTGTAGTAATAGCTTACGTTGTTTATATAAAAAATTACTTGTTTGTTTTTTTGTTTTTTTGATTTATTTTTTTTTTTTTAGTTTCTTTGATTTTTATATGTTTTTCTTTTTTCGCAATTTTAACAAATCTATTTTATATTATAAAGAAAGCCAAATCTTGTATTTTATATACCCACTCCCTTAAAAGGCAATAAGAAGCTTCCCAGGTTTCTGGGATCTTATGTTGCGATTCCTTAAACCAACATAGTAAATTAAAATTACTAAAATATATTTATCATATATTTGAAATCAATTTTAACTCAAATGAATGAAATTCAGCTCTTCGATTTAATATCAATCTGTTTCATCGTGACTTATGTCTAATATTTTTTTGCAAATTTCTTTTTTCTTTATCTTTATTTATAATCATGGCATTTATTAACTGATATCTGATATGGCGATTAAAATGATATATATTTTGTTAGACTATAATTTATCTATGTTTACCTATGCATATACAAATATTTATTCGACCAAGTATCATATGTGGGCGTCACCCAAAGTTGATTATAATCTCCACTGCAGTAAGTCTGTTTATATTTGATAAAAATATATAATAGAATAATAATTGCTGTATATTAAAAATATATATAATAATATCTAAAATACAAATATAAATACAAACAAATACATATTTATATATATGAATTCGCTGATAACAGAATTCACTAGATATAGTGCGTGAGAGTGAGAGAGAGGAATGAGCTTTTTACATACAACATGAGTTTCTGTTTTTTCGCTCAATGATTAAATGTTAAATAGAGAGGCACACAGCTGTTATTCCACTTGCAGCAGTTTCTCTGCATTTCCCTCTCTCTTGCTCACCCTCTTGGTGCGACTCATACTGCTTCCGTTTTCCTCAGCTTCTTTACCGGCATCATGCTTTGTTCTCTTATCTTAAAGCACACGCACACACACACACAGCCGTACACACGCGCTCGTTTAACAATAATATGATTATTTATCTTAATTTGCATTGAGATATTCGACTCAACTAAACAACTTTATTTGCCAGTATATGACGACCTTGCGCCGAAACTAAAAAAACATGGAACTCCACGTATTGGGAATTGAGAATAGGGAATTGGGGAATTGGGAACTGGAAATGAATTCATTTGCTGTGCACATTTGGTCGGCTAATGAATTAAACATGAAAAGCAGCCAAATCGATTTTCATTTGTTTAATAGGTCACGAAAGCAACAACAAAAATAACAACAACATCATCGACACAGAACAACTTGAAGAAATGGCAATGAATATCAATGTGCAGATGGCGAAGAGGCACGCACTTTTTGTAAATTGCCTTTTATGGCTATTTAGCATAGTTTCTTTTTACGCTTAACCCGCTTAACATGCGCAACATGCATCAGCAACATTCACACTTGTCAGCAACATTTTCATTTCCATCTAAATGGAATGTATGCATATGCACATGTATGTGTATGCTTATGTGTATATGACATTTGTTGGTCACTGTAAACGTTAACATTTATAACTGTTAGCAACATTTATTTGAA